TGGGGGTCTCGCCAGATTTCATCTGACCAGTAATTCTGGTCATTATTGAGTTTTTGGATTTTGTTCCACGTTTTCCCTCCCACTCTAGCCAGGATCTCCGGATTTGATCCTTTCCTGAGTGGTTGGCGTTGGTAGCCAGGCACCATCTAGTTTTTCTGGTCTCAAGGGCCATCGTGTCCTAGGGCTGATTGCCTCTAAATGCCCTTCTGTTTTGTTTGTTTGTTTTTTGCATTCTTCTTCACTTTCAATGCTAGGAGACCATTAGCTGCATCTTAGATGGCTGCTTGAAAGCTTTTGAGACCCCAGTCACTACTTACCAATGTAGGATGTGGAGCAATGCTTTTATGTATTTTGTTGTGCCAATTGAGTCTGGTGTCCCCCAGTACTATGGTCCTGAGATGGTAGATCTATTGGATCTCTCTCCCATGCTGTCTAGTTGTCTGTGAGGAATTACTCTGTGTCTGTCTTCTATTGTTTCTGTAAGGACTGCAGGTAAGTTGTATCACTGCTGTCTGGGCAAGATTAGCCTCAGCTGAATCTATCCTTGGTCTAGAGTGTACTTCTGTTCACTGACAGTAGAGCACCTCATGGGTTGTGACAACAATTAAGCAGAGTCTTAAGCACATTAAGCAAAAACCTCTTTAAAGTGTAAAAAACCAAAGATGTCAATAGTCTAATCCAAGCCGTGATATATTCAATATCCTCATATGGATGTGAAAGCTGGACAATGAATAAGGAAGACCAAAAAGTTAATGTCTTTGAATTGTAGTGTTGGCAAAGACTACTGAAAATACTGGGAGCTCTGGTAGTATAGTGCCTATGGCACTTGACTGCTAACCAGAAGGCTGGTGGCTCAAACCCACCAGCCACTCCTCGGAAAGGAGTTGGGCAATCTACTTCTATAGTGATACTGCCTCAGAAACCCAAGGAGGAGTCCCTATGAGTCAGGTCTGACTGGACACATAACAACAATAACAACAACAAGTGAAAATACCAAGGACTGCCAGAAAAACAAACAAATCTGTCCTGGAGGAAGTGCAACCAGAATGCTCCTTGGAATTGAGAATGGCCAGGATTTGTCTCACTGACTTTGGTCATGTTGTCAGAAGGGCCCATTCCCTGGAGAAGAATTATGCCTGGTAAAGTAGAGGGTCAGCAAAGAAGGGGTAGGCCCTCAAAGAGATGGATTGCCACAGTGGCTGCATAGCAAGGATCGTGAGGATGGACCAGGCAGTGTTTCATTCAGATGTACATAAGGTCACTGAGTCAGAGCTGACTCAAAGGCACCTAACAACAACTAGAACATATGCTTGGGAAAGTTGGACAATGACTCGATACTAAACATTTCTAAGAATTCTGTGTAGTCTGATATAGGAGGCAGTTCATGGGGTGGGGCAGGTGACATCATGGACTAACAACACACAGGGTGACACCAACCCTAGTGATGTCACTGCACTGAAAACATAAGCATAATGGAATGAACAGACACATACAGAGAAGAATGAGGTTCTGTCCCTGGTCCTGACCCTGTAGCTGTGTGACTCTGAGCAAATCAATCTGCCTCTCTGAGCTGGAGTTTCCCTATTTCTCCAGGGAAGAGAATCCAACCTGTTCTGCTCACCTCACAGGGTCACTAAGGAGGATCAAGATAGTCTTAAGGCGTGAGAGGCGAGTTGAGCAAGCTCTTCCTGATTATCTCTCCATATTTCCCTTCAAGAACTCAGCTAAACAACTAGTCAGACATAGCGTATGCCCAAGTCTTCTCAACAGCATTTCTTTATACATGCTTGTTCTTCTGCTTTTGATATCTTTAAACCTTCCTTACCTATGTATCCCTGACTGGCACAAATGACTAAGCACTTAGATAATAGAAAAGTTGTTGGGTCAAGTCTACCCAGAGGCACCCTGGTGATTTATGTCCAAGACATCAGCCACTGAAACCCTGTGGAGGGCCGCTCTACTCTGAAACACATGGGCTAGCCATGACTCAGAATCCACTCAATGGCAACTGGTTTGGCTTTTGGCTTATTCATTTATCTAAAATCACCCATAATCTATAGTCCATTTCAAAACTCCCTAACCTCCCTCTCGATTACATTGCCATAGCACTTTGTCTGTATCCCTCTAGTTGTTGTTCCCAAAACCAAAAAAACCAAACTCACTGCTATTGAGTCAAGTCGGATCAACTCATAGCGACTGCACCTTGGGTTTCCAAGGCGGTATCACTACAGAAGTAGATTGCCCAATTTTCCTTCCAAGGAGTGGCTGGTGGGTTTGGTTAGCAGTCAAACGCCTTAGGCTCTGCACCACGAGCTCCCAAGAGTCTCACGTGGAAGGTGAGAATGCCACCACCAAGCCACCAGTGCCCCCTGGACACTTGTTGAAACACTGAAATGGAGTCATCAGCTGTCACCTGGTTATTTCACAAGATGCCCAGGGAGGGAAGTCAAGTGGTCCAGGGCACCCAGCAGCCCTGTGTTTGCCTCAGTTCTTCCTGCGTTTACTAGGACGCACGAAAACAATAGGGGTTTACAGGATGGGAAGTTCACGCCACGCCTTTCCCATCCATTTTCTAAGGTTAGTTCAAGCCATGCTATTCTTCATTTTGTTGGAGCAGATAAGGGCGGGGCTAGGGAGGTCCCACAGCTTCCCGGTAGCTGCTTGCTATGTAATGGGCCCAGCAGGAACAAGAGTGGAGCTCGGCCTGATCCTGCTAGGCGCCAGGTGGACAGAATTACAGAGCTGCCTCGTGGTTTACTTCGGTCTCCCCTTCATTATCTGTCCTTCTTATCACTCATCCTTCAAGAACTTGTTCGCCTCCTGTTTTTTTTTTTTTTAAATCCCTTTCTGATGCATGTATACAATATAAACAACCAAAACCAAACCAAACTCACTGCCCTTGGTTTGGATCCAATGACTCATAGCAACCCCTCCTTGGGTTTCTGAGGTGATATCTCTACAGAAGTAGATTGCCCAACCTTCCTTCTGAGGAGTGGCTGGTGGGTTTGAACCACCAGCCTTCTGGTTAGCAGTCAAATGCCTTAGGCACTACACTACCAGAGCTCCTGTAACAATGTAATGAACAAGAACAGAAAAAAAAACAACTTGCCACCAAGTCAATTCCAACTTGTGGCAACCCCATGTGTGTCGGAGCTGAACTGTGCTCCAAGGGATTTCAAGGCTGTGAACTTTCAGAAGATCGCCACACCTTCATTCCAAAGTGCCTCTGGGTGAGCTCGAACTGCCCACCTTTCGGGTAGTTGGCAAGCAAGCGTCTTCCCAATGTTGTTAGGTGCCATGGAGTCAGTTCCAGCTCATAGCGACCCTGTGGACAGCGGAACAAAACACTGCCTGGGCCTGCACCATCCTCACAATCGTTGCTATGCTTGAGCCCGTCATCACAGCCGCTGTCAGTCCATCTCATTGAGGATCGTCTTCTTAACCAGTGTCCCTCCACTTTACCTAGCATGACGTCCTGCTCCAGGAATAATGTACAATTTCCCTTTTCCTAAGGAAAACCAAGCATTTCAGAGTGCACTTTGATTTACCAACACTAACATTGTTGAAAATTGCATTAACTCTCTTGTCTGTGTTTCAGAAGTTCGATTCGGTGGAAGACATCATCGAACACTACAAGTATTTTCCTATTACGCTGATTGATGGGAAAGACAAAACCGGTATCTGCAGGGAGCAATGCTACCTGAGTCAGTCTCTCCCCCTCCACAGGTGCTTCTCACCTAGGTAGCCCGGCCTTCATTTCACCTTGCGTTCAGTGGCTATCACTATCATTTTTCATTTATTCCAAGAGATTCTTTTCTGTGACTCCAAATGATTCTATTTTTTAGGCTGCATAGAAAAAAAAAAAAAAAATCTATAATGGAAATTGGAAAATCACTCCTGCTTTGGCAGGCTCCAGCAGTAGAAGAAATACGTGTGAGGTGCAAAACTAAAAACCAGCTTTGTGTAACTACCTTCTAAAGAGAGAACCATAGCCTGGCCATTATGGCTGTGACACAGACACGCAACAAAGGCTCACAGGAAGCTCTTGCTTATGCTTGCAGCTAGCACGTGACATGTCCTGTGACACTCCCCAGCCCACACTCTTTCAAGGACCCTGAGCTGCCTTGCTTTAATGCAGAACTGTTTGGATTTGTGCATTTACAATTTTACGGTGATTCCTTGTGCTAAAGGTGTGCTGACAGTGAATGTCCATTCATTTTTATGATCCTGGAAATTCAATTATATGCAAGAAAGGTGGTATGAAAACCCAGAGCTTTTGTGAATATCACCCGAAAGACGGAAATCAGAAATACTCTTACTATGGTGTGAAGTGATCACAGGATCAGTGTCCAGCATGATAAAATAAATCAGTAAATAAATAACAGTTGTCTAGCTCACGGTGACCTCATGTGTGTCCGAATAGAACTGTGCTCCGAGAGGTTGGTTGTCAATGGCTAATTTTTCAGGAGATCACCAGGCTTTTGTGATGAGGCACCGCTGGGTGAATGCAGACAGCCAACCTTCCAGTGAGTAGCTGAGCACTTTAACCATTCACAGCACCCAGGGACTCCATGCTCTGTTTAAAAGAGCTTGAATCTAATGGGATTAATAAATTCCTAGTGAAGAACTCAGAAGATGATAGCCCACTCCAGCCTTCAGTCAGTTTTAAATCTAAGTGAAAGTAAAATTAAAAATAAATAAATAAAATCCTAATTGTGGACTTTCATTCAAAGGTAGTGAAGAACTCTCCTCAAATCAGCGCTAGTATTTTGCAGTGACATTGCACACGTCGTAATTTCATTCTTGTTTTACAAAACAGATGGGGAAACTGAGCTCAAAGAGAGGATTTATCTTAATATGTCCAGAGACCCCAGATTTTAGTGCATTTGAATCCCATGTGCAGTCCATTGCATCAGACAATGGAGTTGAGGAGCTAAATTTAAAAAGAGAGAAACAATTTGAAAACACAAGCTTACCCACTTTTTAAATAAGCAAATTAATAAACTCTTGTAGGGGAGTAGGTTAAAAGCCAAATGATTTGCTGTTGAAATTAATGGCATTAATGAGTTCAAATGTTACCAAATCTCATGTGTGCAATTCATGGGTGGTTATGTGACTGCAAAGGAGCCCTGGTGGTGCAGGGGTTAAGCACTCTGCTGTTAACTGAAAGGTCAGCAGTTCGAACCCACCAGCTGCTCTGTGGCAGAAAGAGGTGGCAGTCTGATTCTGTAAAGATTTACAACCTTGGAAACCCTAGAGGGTAGTTTTGCACTGAATCAATTCCATGTTGTTGTTGTTGTTGTTATGTGCCGTCGAGTCGGCCCCGACTCATAGCGACCCCTCCTTGGGTTTCCGAGGCAGTATCACTACGGAAGTAGGAT